AGAGAAAGTGAAGAGAAAAAATCTGATCCAGCTGCTTGTTAACTAAGCACATTCCTTCCTGCACAATAAAAGCTGTAGAGGGACCTCAGAAGTAAAGAGGGTGTGAGAATATAATCATACATTAAATCATGAAGCAAGAAAACTGCATTGAAACAACACTGTTGGCATCATGCAGTTGAGCATTCAACAGCTGGAAATTCTGAAAAATGTTCAGGCAACTGTAGACACTTGAAGGCCTGACTACAATGCTAACAACATAACTCTTCATGTTGATTTTGTGTGTGATATATCAGTGTGCTCAGCCACGTTTTAGTTACTACTTCCCATTCTGAGGATCTAGGGTTGGGGACCTATATCTCTTCTTATCAATACTAGCATGAATTCCAAGTAACTGCATTGAACTCAAAGAGGCACCGTCATAAAAAAAAACAAAACAAAACAAAACAAAAACCAGATGCAAGCATCAATGAAATGACGTCCTATTCTTACATAATCAGCAGAAACTTTAACTGGTGAGTAGCTGGCGAAAAATACCACCGTGAAAGCCTAAAGTGAAGACTGCTATCTTCACTTTGCAGAAAATGATTTTTTACTCTAAATGAGCCTTGTAGATTCCAAAATATGCTTTGTAAAATCATTGCTAATTGTCAGATGATTGAGTCACTCCAACTGAAGCCAGTAAAAAATTGTGCCACTGCAGCTGTCAAGAGTTATGTTTTTTAAGGCTCTAGACTATTTTTAATGGCATGTAAAAGAATATAAACCATGTAATTATTCAAATGAGAAATGCACAATCTGAAATGTGCAGTGTTTTGAAAATAAGTGAGCATCCTGACACCTGTAATATTGCTGCAATTTGGCTGGCACTATGATTATGCCAACTATTAGTGCAGCTGTCACCCAAAATGCTGAATACAAGCAGGGGGTAAATGATTCATTTAGGTGAGCAAACATACCAGGGCTCCTAAATGAATGACAATAGAAAGATTTTCCTTGGCTAATTGCTGTGGTGCCACACACACAGTTTGGCAGGAGGATGGTGCTGTGAAAGAGGAACGCATTTCTCAGTTTGGGGTCATGTTGTTCCTCGGATGTCTGACAAACATTTTAATTTCTCCTCCAGCTTGCAGAGTTAGGCCATGTGTATATGTGTGTAGACTTCCATACCAACACCCACACCATTATCTGCTCATTAACACTGGCCTATGAGCATCTGGGACCAGATCATCAGCGGCTGGAGGTTAGCATGCACTCACTGAAGACACAGTGACATCCCAGCCGAGACTCCTGCCCTTATATTCCAGAATTTGTAGGCTGCTCTTTCAAGATTTCAAAAACAGGCATACTGTGTCCATGTCTGCATAACAAAAACTTTTTCCTTTCAAAGCAAAACAAATAAAAACTAAGGTGAACAAAATGACATGACTCATTAGTTAAAATCCCCCAAGAAAACACATTCTTTACCTAAATCAGTTGTGGCAGCTATTAATAATCCTGCCAGCTGTTACAGGAGGCCTCTTCAAGTGTACTGAGATCTCAACTTAAAGGTCTCCTGACAATGCATCCGCTGCAGCATTTAAAAAATGAGCCTTACACTCAGTTAAGCCTTCTTAATCTTTATTTGTAATGACTAAAGTGATTTATCTAGGCTTCAACAGTTCATTAGTTTTAATGGTAAGTACTGGGAATTGGAATATTACCATAGCCAGGTGTCAGCAGTGTCTAGGGGAAAGGAAATACTTTCCTGAATGCAGGTCACAGGACAGTGAGGATACAGGTGAGGCTCACGTCACATTTTGTAGACAGTTGTTTAAACATTTTTGCAGTGTTCCACCATCCCTTGAATAACTCCAAATACAGAGCCTTGGAAGAACTAGCTAACCTTGGTTTTTGCAGAAGGTCTGAGGAAGAACAAGCAGTAGCTACCCAAAGTGAGAATGACTACAAACTTAAAACCACATTCAGTTCTCATCCAACTCTGGCTGTGGCAAAATTCAATGTAAATGGGCATTTGAGGAAGCAAGGTGCAGATTTCAACCATCAGCCCAGTGGCAGGGTCTCTGCAGGGAGCCACATGTACAGACACGTGGGAAAACAGATAAAGCTGAAACTTGTGGTCATCCTTCACATGTATTTCTCCATCAAGTCAAAACATACACAGAATAACTCAATCCGTAATAAACCCCAAATATTGCAAATTCACCAGAAGAGCTATCCTTCTTTAGATACCTCCAAAATTTGACACTGAAGACACGTAGTGGGTAAAACTATTTTAAAGAACTTGTGATTTTCCTCCTGGAGCAATTTCCAAGTCGAGTCTTTGTTGTATAAAGATACATGTCTAAAATGAAGCATTTATATGGTAAAGTGGAACTACTGTCGCAAAACCCCCATACTTTTCAAGAACATCCCAACTACACTCTCCTTCTTGTAGGGTGCTTTAAACAAGCTCTAAAAAGGTGGATGCGGGCCTTGTCTACCCAATTATCTTGTGCTCAACCAGAACAAACACAAGAAGCCCATCTCTAGTACTTCCTGGTTATTATTTCCACATCACACTGACCTCCTTGGTAGAAAGCTTAATAACTGCTCATGGTCAAATAACACACCCAGGCAGAAGCTCTGCTTTCCCACAGCAATCACAACCCCAAAACCCCAACTTCTTGGTTGACACAGATCAGAAAATCTCTCAGAAAAATCTCCAAACAGAAAACATACCTTAGAAACACCTCAGTGGTGCTTTCCCTGCCACTGCCTTTGTGGCGGATCAGTGCACCTACATCACACTGAACAATTGTCTACAAATAGACAGATGGTCCTATCCAGACCTGCCTCTGAGAAAAAGTTCAGGAACACCAGGACTTTGCACAATGTCACACAAGGGAGAATCACTCTTTATAAAGCATGTGACGATGTTTCAAAAAGCCGAAATGGTCCAGCGCTGTGCTGCTTACTTGTGCATTGTGCATTGTATCACTTGTTTTTTTTTTAACCTATTGTTTCTCTGTTATGCTGCGTAGAGAAATGCTGGACTTGCTGGGCTGGAAGAGGCTGTTGGCCTATGGCACCTGCCACCATGGCAACACCAACTGCTTCAGGCAAGGTTTGATGGAGTTTTGTTCCAGCCTTTCCACTCTGTAGGCTGGCATTTACACTAAAGAATAGTCACTTCTGTACTTTCCAAAACTCCTGTTTAATATTTACCATTCGGACTCATCATGTGCTTGCTGTTCTTCTTGCAGTTTAACCTCTTCTGGGTCATGAATCCTGACCTCAAAGATTGTTTCTTGCCGTTAAGTCTTAAACTGCCCACTCTCCTTGGGCTTTTTGTTGGTTTTCTTGCTATCGTTAGTTCAAAACTTCTTTGTGCCTGCCTAGGTACGTCTATGGCCTTGGTCCCTGCAGTATCCAACTGCCAATCAATTCTTCACCGCACCTTCTGTGATAATCACAGAACTACAGAGGGGTTGAGGTTGGAAGGGACCTCTGGGGGTCAATCCCCTGCTCAGGCAGGGCCACCTAGAGCAGGTTGCCCAGGACTGTGTCTAGACAGTTTTTGTGTATCTCTAAAGACAGAACGAAAACAAGTATTATTATTCCCATTGTGCAGATAAAGAATCAAACAGAAAGATTAGGGGTTTGCCAAGGAAGTTAAGGAACTGCAACTATAATTCTGATTCACACTAAGCCTTACTTAAAAATTTAGAGACTGTTCCTGCCCGGTGGTGGTACAGGCTGAATAAAGAAGATAAAAGGCTGAAAAAACAAATCCAGTGAGCAGTGTGATGGTGGTAACTCAAGTATCGCAGTTTTATTTAATCAGCACTTTGATTTTATTTTTTTTCCCATGGGTAAAAAGTAGCTAACTGAAAAAAACTGGTGAACTAAAGAAAAAAATTAGCCAGGGGAAACAAAAAGGAGGAAGAATGTGAAGGACTGATGATGGAGCAGATGTTAGTGCAAAACTCAAGGCGCTACAAAATCTAGCCTGACCACCTGTGCAGAGTTTTTAGTCTCACCAAGCCCAACAGCTGAGGTTTGGCCAAAGCATACTGTCTGCAGTAGCAACCTGGCTTGACCTAAGACTGCCAAGATAAGGCCAGTCCACCGTTGTCCTTGGTTAGAAAAGGGAGGGAAGAGGAAGAGAGAGCAGGGGCTGTAAGGCATTTACACCAGAAGGGCAGGGAACGGCAGACGAAGAGTCAGCTCTTGGGGGGATGAGGCACTCCGGCCCACAAACCGGCTGAGGCTACTGCTACGCCAGCTCCCTTGGTGGGTTGCGCCGGCTCCTCCCGGCATTTCTTTCTCAGGGTCACTCCTGAGACTCCACTCACTCATTCTTGGGATCATTTCTGATCCTAAATGTTCAAAAAAGTCGTGCAGATGTATTTTTAAGCGACTATCTGCGGATCTCGTTTCCTTTTGTGGCTGTTTGGCCTCTGGTCATGTTGTCCTCCCGTGACGGATCCCCGGGGTCCTCCTCCTGCTCCTGCCGCGCTGCAGGGTACCACGCATCAGCGGCCACCTCCTCCGGGGAACGTCCCACTTCTCTGCCTTTCTCGGAACTCCTGAGCCCGCGGCAAAGCCGCGCAGCCGCCGCCGCGGCGGCAGGCAGGCGGGGAAGCGGAGGAGGAGGAGGAAGAGGAGGAGGAGAAAGAGTTTCGACCTCAAACGCGAGGCGCGCTCCCCGCTCGGCGGCGGCGGCGGCG